GTCAAGGAAAAATCAAAAATTTTGAAAAAAAGCGTTTAATCCTCCTAGCGCACACACTATTTGACCAAGACAGTTCATATTTGGTATACATACGTATTTTTGCGTATATAGATTGCAAAAAAAATTTAGCAAGAACGATTGGGCTTGATTATCATATTGTTTTTAAGGAAAACTCATATTTTTAGAAAAAATCACGGAGTTTTCGAATAAAAAAACAAGAAAATTTTATCTTAGGGGATTCAAATTTGTACATTTTTACGTGTAGATTACAAAAAAAATATAGTCAGCATGATTGGAGTTGATAATCATAGCGTTTTCAAGGAAAAATTGATAATTCTCGTTATATGTGACTATCTATGTGTTTTTATGCTCACATTACAAGAAAAATTAAGCAAAAATGGAATTTTTTCACCTGCCTTCACACTTTAACCCCCTTAAATTTTAGGTTTAAGGATACGGAACCCTCGGTTTTAATACGAGTGTAACTTGCACTTGTCCGATTTTTTTTAAAGAGTTGGTGCTACCATACCTCTTAGCTAGTACATAGTCATTTTTAGTACATAGTACATAGTCATTTTTAGGAATTTTTCGTAAAAATTCATAGTTTTTCCTTGACAACGCTATGATAATCAATTCCTATGAGATTCGATATATTTTTCCTGTAATCTACACACCAAAATACAGATGTGTACCAAATTTCAGTCCTCCAGATCAATTCGTATGGCCGATAGGGGGGGGGGTGTACATGCCTTGTTTCACTAGTATTATTAATAGGATTCCCCTTTCGGGTACGGAACCCTAATGAAGATGTTTTTTCGATTTACAAATTTTTTTTTAATTTCTTTCTACTTCCATTTGAAAGCCCTACATTATGTCAGAGTGAATTATTAAATATCTCGTTTTTTATTTGGTTTTTTAAGCGGTTGGTGCCAGCTTAACGTTAAAGTAGCACCAACCCCTTTAAAAAAAAAAAATAAAGTAGAGTGTTTTTGTTTTTGAAAATTCTTTCTATGTCTATTTGAAAGCCCTAAATGAGCCCTAAATTATGGCATGGTAGAATTTTAATTATCTCTTTATTTATTTGGTTTTTTAAGCAGTTGGTGCCAGCTTAACGTTAAGGTAGCACCAACCGCCTTTTTTTAAAAAAAATAAAGAGCGGTAATTTTCCCTTATTGAGCCCTAAATTCTCACATAGGAGATATTTAAAAATATCGAACTTGTGGTGCCAGTTTAACAGACCTCGTTTTCGGGACCTTCTGTCTGTACTTTTTACAACCCTCAACTTCTTATATTAATCATGAAAATGCTTAAAAAATTTATTGTTGCATTTATTTTTTATAAAAAAATGGAGAAAATCTGCAAAAAACAGCGATTCATTAAAAAAATCATAACTTTTTGAAAAAATAATATATCTGACCGATCTAAACGGGAAATTGTAAGTTAATTATGTGGCTTTAAGAAATAAAAAATTATTATATTTATTTAATAGTAATTGCTTAAGTTTGTATAGGTAAAACAGTCCATAAATCATGTATTGTGCATTGGTAAAAACACAATTTATTTTTACAAAGTTATCAAATTATTATTATTTTATCTTATTATATCATCTTAAAGCTTTAGCCATTTATACATGTTTATAAAACTGACTGAAAAAAAATTAAGTTATGCAAAAAACACGATGAAACAAAAAAAATTTTTTTTGCTTAACTGCGATTCGAGTGCACGCCGTCTTTTCCCAGCGAAAATTTTTGAGTTTATTGTAGTTGCCAATAAAGGACTAGGATCGTCACCTTTGAGCGTTTGTACTCTTTCCTACGTTACTTTTTTAGGTGAAAACAGCAGCAGGTTCTAATCGTTTGTTAAAAATATATTTAACTAAACAGTTTTGTATGGGACACAAATGACCCACGTTTACAGACATAGTTTAGCCCTAGGGGTGAGTAATTTAACCACGAAATATTGTTAGGTTTTTCCAAAAACTGTAGGAGAGGAAGTGGGTTAAATTTTTTTGTAAAATTTAAACAGTGAATTTTTGAAGACTTGTAACTTTTAAACAGAAAGAAGAAAAGAAATTGTCTTATATGTTTCCGAAAAGATTTTTCCTGCTCTTTCAAATGGTGCAATTTTTTTGGATTAGAGGATTTTTTATAAACAATTGCCATGTTAGCCAATTGTTTAATAACAATCCACTAACACAAAGTACTTCATAAAGGGCTCGTTGGATGCGGAATTTTGTCAACTTTCATTTACTAATGTCAGAATCACGATACCTTTATTCATTTATAAAATATATAAATTTTTATTAACATTAATTAATTAATTAACTAATTAATATCTTGAAAATATCAAAAAAGGACATCTCAATATTTTTTGTGGTGAAAATACACATTTTTCGCTTTCAAAAAAAATAAAATAAAAAGGACCGAAATTAAAAAAAAAATTCGAAAAAATGTTTAATTTTCAAAAAAGGGTCAAATTTTCAATCTTTAAAAATTTTTTTTGCACCATTTGAAAAAGCAGAAAAAAACCTTTCGAAAACATAAAGGACAAATTTTTCTTCTTCTCTCTGTTTAAAAGTTACAAGTCTTCAAAAATTCACTGTTTAAATTTTTCAAAAAAATTCAACCCCCTCCCTCTCCGACAGTTTTTAAAGAAACATAACAATACTTCATGGTTAAATTACTTACCTCTAGGGCTAAACTATAATTTTTTTTAGTTTAGTTCGCTAGTGGTTTTTTCAAAAACTGTAGGAGACGGAGGGGGTTGAATTTTTTTACAAAATTTAAACAGTGGATTTATGAAGACTTATAACTTTTAAACAGAAAAATGAAAAAAAAATTTGACCTGTATGTTTTCGAAAGTTTTTTTCCTACTCTTTTGAATGGTGCAAAACATTTTTTAAAAATTGAAAATTTGACCCTTTTTTTGAAAGTCAAAAGTTTTTATAACTTTTTTTTAAGATTGGTCTTTTTTTTAACTTTTAATATTTTTTTTGAAAGTGAAAAATGTGTATTTTAACCACAAAAAATATTGAGATTTTCCTTTTTTGTAATTTTCGAGATATTAATTAATTAATTAATGTTAATGAAAAGTGAAATATTTTACAAATAAATAAAGTTATTGTAATTCTCAAGATACGAATTGAAATCTGACGTAATTCCGCATCCAACGAGCCCTATATGAACTATTTTGGATGATAGAATTTTTTTATAATCAATTGCAATGTTAGCCAATTGTTTCTTAATAATCCACTAATTCCAAATACTTCACATAGATCTCGTTGGATGAGGAATTATGTCAACTTTCATTTAGTAACGTCAGAATTACGATAACTTTATTTGTTTATAAAATATACTATTTTTTATTAACCTTAATAATTAATTAATTAATTCTTTGTCTTCGAGATATTTATTAATTAATTAGTGTTAATAAAAAATGCTATAGGGTCAATTGGGGTAAATGGGGACAAAATGCCTATTTTTCACAAATTGCGGTTTCTTCCTTTAAAAGGTAAAATTTGCGGGTTTAATTTTTTAAGTTGTTATTTACATTCCCAAGATTAATTTTATGCAGCAGAAAAAAATTTAGATAAGCTTTAAACGCATGAAACTGACTGTCCCCATTTACCCCAAGATTTAGAAAATTTCATAAAATTTGGGGGAAATGGTTTCTAAGAAAGGTTTAAGAAAAAAGTTTCCTTAATCATATTACTGTATTATTATGAATTAAATTGACAAAAAAAAATTCAAACGAATTTCTGTTATAGGAGTCACAAGGAATAAGAAAAAATATTGTATGATTTTTAAGTCTGTTTTCTTTGAAAGCCGAGACAAAATACTGAAACAGTTTGACTTTGATTTTTAAGTTTTTATGCATTGATCGATGACTTGAATTATCTTGCTGCCAATTGTCAAGATAAAAGCTTGGTAACATTTAGAATCCCTTGTATGTGATCTGAGGTTAAAATATTGACGTTGAACTTAATTTTAAAACTGTAAATTAAGCTCCAACACCTTTTATCCCTATTTACTTCAACTGACCCTATTTTATATAAACAAATAAAGTTATCATAATTCTGACGTTACAAAATGAAAGTTGTCATAATTCCTCATCCAACTAGCTCTATATAAATAAATAAATATTATTTTCTTTATAAAATATGAAGTTTACAGGTACGTGATCCCTTTTTTAGGAGAATTACCTTTTTTGGTTGAACTTACCCGACTCTCTCCTAATTTAACACTATTCAATATTGATCACATGTTTCGATAAAGTATCTAATTCACAAAAAGATTTACTTTTTATACGTTTGTTTTGTTAAAATGCTTCAAAACCAAAAAACCAAGATTTTTTGATTTTAGAAAAAACATTTTCTTATGTATCTTATTTTTTGTTTCTGTCGTCATTTTTTCAATCTAAAAAATCCTTTTTGCGAGCATGATTGAAAAAAATTTTTAAAAAACAAAACCGCTTGAAATATGCTACTTGTAGCTTCTAAGATTCTTGTGAGATTTAGAAATTCCATTGAAATATTTAATATTTTGTTAAGACATAAGTAAAAAGTTATGTATTTGTATTCTATTATTATTTGTTATTAAAAACCTAAAGTCCTAAATCACTTTCTCATTCTTTTTATAAAAATAAAGTTTAGGTTTCTTGTAAACGACCATATATAACATTAATATTATTCTTTTTTCATATGTTTTATATTGCTGAACAAGTTTAAGAATTATTTTTTGTATTTTTAAAGTTTAACAAACAAATTAGTAAAAGTTTATAACAAAAAAATATGTCATATAAAAGTATTATTTTTTTTGTAAAAAGTTATAGGAAATATACCAAAAAGAAGAAACTTAAAAGAACAAAAAAACATAGCATTTTATCTTTACTTCTAGCAGTGCAAAATACAACAAGAAATCAATATTACATCCCTAACTTCTGCTGGGTCAAATCATTCGTCAGTGAACAAGGCAAGAAAAAAATATCAATACAATTCTTACCAGGCATAACGCACGAATAATTATTTGTGGTCTTTTAATGAACACAATTGGATCGAAAGGAGCTCCTGCTTTTCCACATCCATAAGCTCCTCCGCTATCCATCTTGTCTGAATCAGCAAAACAGACTAAGAATTCAATGCTTTAGAAATAACAGACAGCTCATGCGCAAAACTAAAAGTGTCAAAAGTTAAGAGAAAATGATCATATATATAATTATTGGAATAACAAATAAAGTTAAGAATAATTATTTATAATTAAGAAAATTTTTATTCCGTTCAAAAAATTATTCTAATAAAAATTTAAAAATATATGAATTATATTAATATCGTTTACTATCAATATATAACAGCCTTTTACATTTAATATAAATTTGCACTTGCGTATTTTACCGCGAAACTTAACATTTTTAAAGGAAAATAATATTAATAAAATTTGTATTACTTTCTAACTTTCACTTTCGAAAATTTTTTCAACTTTCTCATTCTTACTTTCATTTTCAGTAAAATTTTTTGTTACTTTTTCATTCTGACTTTTATTATCAAAAAAGTTTTTTTCTTTCTCACTCTCATTTTCATTAAAAAAGTTTTACAATAAACGCGTGATCCAAACACCAAATTACGTTCCACATTTTCATATAACATTTTAATGAACAATTTTAGTCAACTTACTTTGTCTTTGACATATTTTTTCTGTACTTAATTGTCTTTTTTTGAAACAAGAAAAAAGTTTTTTGTTGAGCGTAAAGAACTGACTCGTATAATAAGTCTTTATTGTCCGTATACTTCACTGCAACACATGTGAAAACTTCCCTGACATTGCTAACAAGTATTTACATACAAAAACAGATGGCGCTAATGTGATAAAACTAAATAAATGCGATGGTTCAACCCTGACCACTGTCCTACCCTGACTCCTCTCCCTAACACATACACACAAAAAAAAGTTGTCTGTTTCTTAAACTAAACATATTGCTTCCTCATGGAGGAAGTATTGTTTTCGCGAAATTTTTCGAACTCATTTTTTTGACATATCTTTATGTTTTTTGACCTCAGGAAAATGTCATTCCGTATGTGTGTGTGTGTGTATATACATTACATTTTCATAAATATCTCAAATTCTATAAGAGCTTTAGGGCTGAATTTTTTTTAAATTGTAGATCTCACTTGGGGACATAAAATGAGAAAACTTTGGGACAAATTAATACATATTAACTATATTTTTTTTTACTTTTAAAATTTTTGAAAAATCGTTTTTTGCCCATAACTTGAAACACATGTTTTGAAAGTTGGGATGTTTTTACTTAATTTTGTAGTTTTTTAAGACGCATTTTTTGAGCTATTGACGAACAATCTGCTATCATTTTATCCAAAGTTATTGACATTTTAAAAATCATAAAAAATCGTTTTTTGCTTATAACTTTAAAAAAATGTTATGACACCTACAGTTTTCTTAGTCTCATTTTGTAGAGATTTTCAAGACGCATCTTTTGACCTATTAACGAACATTTTACGATTACTTTATCCAAAGTATCATCATTTTTAAATATAAAGTTATACACACATTATTTTATTTTAATTTTTAGTTTAATTTTTTACTTATTATTATATAAATAAATATAAATAAAAAATCGTAAACTGATCGCAAAATATCTCCATGAGGAAGCAGAGTGTTCATGGAATGAACACAAAAATACATACTTCAACTTGGCAGCGGTTTCTTTTCTATAGTATTTTGGTTCGCTGAAAACGAATATGAAGGCAGAATTGCTACATCCCCCTCTGATTTGTTTTAAATTGAAAAAATCACTCTTAACCGGACAAATTCAAACTTAGGAGGTAATAAAATTAAATAACAGATTTTTTATAAAAACAGAACCGCACACCTACGTATTTTTGCTTCACTAACTCAAAAAAAGCCAGAACTGAGCTAGCGCCCTCTAAACTTTTTTTAACCCCTTCGCAGTGTAGCAAAAATAAAGCTTCAGTGCCCCGTATGTGGGAAAAAAAATTTTTTTTTTTTAAATTAATATTAAAAAAAAACCGAAAATCTAAGAATACCTATTGACAAGTTTATTGTATTGTTAAAATAATGAAGTAAACGATTATTAAAATAATGAAGTAAACTATCGATAATTTATCATATTTTGTGTTTACTTATTTTTTTTAAGATGCCGCTATAGCGGTCATGCACACTGGTGGCACGACATTTTTATGCCTCTATAGAGGTCAATAACAGTGAAGGGGTTAAGGGAGAAAACTCGTGTAAATGCAAGTTTTTTCAGGATTTTTTTAAAAAACTGGTAAAGTTTATTGAATTAAAGTAAAGCATACCTTAAAGTACACAATATAAGCTTTATAAAAAAAAATTTTTATTAAAAAATATTACAAAATGGTGGCGTTACAAGCATTTGAAGTTGCATCTTTGATTTTCCACCGTGCAGCCTACAGGTCACAAATCTCAACTAAAATTTAAAATCAAAATTTTTACCGGTAAAATACGCAAATACGCTTTGCATGACGAAGAGAAAACTAAAAAAATTTTTTTTTTAAATTTGGGACTATTTTAAAAAAAATCAATTTTTTTATAAACAATGTTCAAAGACAATTGTTAACATTTTTTTAAAAGTAGCTTGTCATGCCCGTAAGATAAAGAAAATTTGTGTTAAGTTTGATTAAAATCTGTTAAAAATTGACTGAGTTACATAGCACGGCGCGCGAAAAAACACGTTTCGAGAAAAACGCGTATTAAGTTTTCGATATATAAAAGTAGTGTATTAACTATTGCCTTGAAGACGTTATGTATTCAAAAATAACTATTGCACTCGTATGGTTTCCATAGTAACAGTTACCATGGCAACAGTTTCCATGTCTGTCCGTCCGTCTGTCGTACACTCGTATGGTTTCTATGGTAACAGTAACCATAGCAACCGTTTCCATGGTAACCATTAGCATAGCAACTGTTACCATGGCAACCGTATCTATAGCAACCGTTACCATGGAAACTGTTACCATGACAACCGTTACCATAGCAACCATTTCTATAACAACCGTTACCATGGCAACTGTTACCATGACAACCGTTACGACAGAAATCGTTTCAATATGAACCATCACCAAAGCAACCCTTACCATAGTAGTAAACGTTACCATAGCATGCCCCAAAGTCTCCACCGTTTCGCTTCGGCGATACAAACCGGAAATCAATATTAACGTTTATATATATGGAAAACTCTAATGACGTTAAGTAATTTACTGTTTGGAGGAGAATTTATTTATAGAACTTAATTTATGAATCAAATTATATTTTAAAAAATCGGACAAGTGCAAGTTACACTCGCACTGAAACCGAGGGTTCCGTACTCGAAGCGAACTTATTTGATATAAAAACAAATGTTTAAATAAAAGTTTTTATACCAAATAAGTTCGCTTCGAGTACGGAACCCTCGATTTCAGTGCGAATATAACTCGCACTTGTCCGATTTTATTTTCAATTAAAATAAACATTTTCTTTAAAGAAAATGTGAAAAGAATATGGAATTAAAAAAGGAAGAATAGGAAGAAGAAAAATAAAATAGAACAAATAAATACCCTATTGAAAAAAAACACGTATAATTGTACGTATAATAATACGTATAATTATATGTATTATTATACGTATAATTATACGTATAATAAGACATACGAATTTGAAACAAGAATTATACGTATAATTATACGTATAATAATACGTATAATTAATTATACGTATAATAATACGTATAATAATACGTATAATTATACGTATTATTATACGTATAATTATAATTCTATTAAAACTAGAATAATAGAATAGAATAGATTAATTAGTAGCAAAATTGCGCTGAAAATTTTTAGAAATTTTAAAATGCAAATTAAATTTCACGAAAAAAAATATCGTCGAATGTCAATTCAAGCAGTCACCCATCCAAGTACTAACCGCGTCCAACGTTGCTTAACTTCCGTGATCTGATGAGAACTTGTTCCTTCGCCTTGGTGTTTCCGCTGTCTTGTCTTGATTAATAACTTTGTCGTATAAGTATTGTATCGCACCTAACCTCACTTTTAGTGATACTTATACGACAAAGTTATTAATCAAGACAAGACAGCGGAAACACCAAGGCGAAGGAACAAGTTCTCATCAGATCACGGAAGTTAAGCAACGTTGGACGCGGTTAGTACTTGGATGGGTGACTGCTTGAATTGACATTCGACGATATTTTTTTTCGTGAAATTTAATTTGCATTTTAAAATTTCTAAAATTTTTCAGCGCAATTTTGCTACTAATTAATCTATTCTATTCTATTATTCTATTTTTAATAGAATTATAATTATACGTATAATAATACGTATAATTATACGTATTATTATACGTATTATTATACGTATAATTAATTATACGTATTATTATACGTATAATTATACGTATAATTCTTGTTTCAAATTCGTATGTCTTATTATACGTATAATTATACGTATTATTATACGTATAATTATACGTGTTTTTTTTCAATAGGGTAGAACAAAGAAACGAATAAAAAACTTATGGGAAAAGTCCACTTTTTTCAAAAAAATTTCTTTTTTGAGAAAAACTTAATTAAAACAACTTCTTATCATGTTTTTTAAATTATTTCGATAATATACAGAATGTGGCCGCCCCCAATTAAGTTCGCTATATTTTTTCTGTAATTTTCACGTAAAAATACATAAGTGTACCAAATTTGAACATATGTATACTAAACTTCAACCATCCAGATAAATTTCAGTGGCCGCTAGGGGGGGAGGATTCACGATTTTAAAAAAACCGATATTAATAGGGTTCCGAACCGAGTACGGAACCCAAAAAACCCGTAACTATTTTATTTATCTTTTTTTAAGTTTCATTAATACCATAATGTAATGTCATTATTATAAAATTTTGCCAATATTTTTTATAAATAGATAAATAACACAGGCACACAAAAAAAAAAAAGTTGTCTGTTTCTTGAACTACACATATATTTCCTATAGTATTTTGGCCCGCTGAAACCGAATCTGAGCTCAGAATTGCTCCATCACCCTCAGTTTTTTTTTAAATCGACCAAAACCACCCTTAAACGGACAAATTCACACTTCGGAGATAAAAAATAAATCAACT